ATCTGTGCGTCGCTCCCCCCACGGGCGACGCGCGCACCGAGAGTTCTTATATCATACATGCGTCGTGGCGGGCGCTTTCCGGCCACACCGCTCGGGAAACGATGTACTACAAGACGGGTATAACATATGTTTAGGTTGTACGCGCGCCTCCAATGAGGACATGTAGTACTAGAATTTCTCTGTGCGTCCCATATGACCTCGCCATTCCGTCTTTAGAGTGCGTTAGCTTGCGCTAGCGTCTGGCGATCGACGCGGATACGCCGATTTGGCGTCGATCACCGTCGGTTGGCGTCGATTCGCAAGAGCCAGCAGGATGGCATGGGAGGCTCCCGTGAGTTGCCGCATGAAGCCTCCCGGCTCTTCACGGGACGGCCAGTGGCCATGGGCTGCAGGGCCGCGCGCGCCGCCAGCGTTCCCCCCGGAGGGGACCCCGACTCCAGCGACGACGACAACCCCGCGGGCTGGGAGGGGGCGGCCCGCGATGTCCGCATGAGCCCGCGGCGGTCGCCGAGGAGCTTACGGCAGGTTCGTGCCGTGTCGACGCGGCGACGGCTCGAGCGCGGGCGTTCATGGTTGAACGCCGCCAGCGGTCCCGAATCGGCCGACATCGAGGGATCTGCGCCATCGGAGTGCCGCTGATCGTTCAAGACTGAACGATACACGCGGTATCAGAAACCAGCGCCGGGGTCGTCACGACACCAACCTGCCGCAGTTGCCCTGAGACGCCCGTGCTCAGACGCAACACGTGCCGTGCTCAAAACGTCTGGGTCAAACGCGCGGCGTGTAGATTCAATGCGACGTGCTGGCCCACGTTTTGGTGAACGTATCGTGTTGGCCTACGTGTTGGCCCACGTTTTGGTGAAACCAACAGGTACCGACACCGCTGCTCCCTGGACCTCTCCTGGGGTGCGTTCTGACCAGAATCTCGAGGCTAATCCAGCGGTGGCGACGAGGGCCTCCGAGGAGGCCCAAAAAGGGGAACACGAGGCAGGGTAGAGGCATGGGTACCTTTTTTCCTCCCCCGAGTGCCAGGCCAGCGTTTTCCGCCTGGAGCTCCGTGCCAGCACGCCGCGGGTGGCGCGTGTTGCGTCCGAGGGGCAGTGTCATCCGAGCCGAGGAGCATGGAGGGCACAGCGGGGGAGCAGCGGAACGGCGCCGACGCGCCGTGGGGATGGCTCGATGCCGCCTCGGCGGTGCTGGCGGCCGTGTGGGGCAGCGGGAGCCGGGCGGGCCCGCCGGTGCCGCGGCTGCACCTGCCAGCTCCCGGGGCGCCCGCGCAGCGGGCGGAGCTCAGAGGAGGAAAAGGCACGCCAGACCCTTACCCTTCCCTCGTGTTCCTCTCTCTGTGGGCCTCCTGGGAGGCCCTCGTCGCCACCGTTGGACTCGCCTCGAAGTTCTGGTCAGAGCGCGCCCCGGGGGAGGTCTGGGGGGTAGCGGTATCGGTACCGGTTGGTTTCACCAGGAACCGGCCGCTGTCGCGGAGGACCCTCGGAGGAGGATGGCGAGGCGCAAGAGGCTTGTGCTCGCGACCATCGTCCTGTCGTGGTTTGCGAGCGGCGCGCTGGTGTTCTCCTCGATGGACCTTGGGCCGCTCAGGACCATGTACCTCATGGTGCAGATCATAACGACGGTCGGCTATGGCGACTTCGTGCCCGAGACACAGGGGCAGAAGTTGGCGTGCACAGCTGTCGTGTTGAGCTCAACGCTTCTGGTTGCCAACGTTGTGATGGCTTCTGTTTCGGATATGCAAGACAAGATTGGTGGCGAAGTAGCATTCGACGTGGACGCAATGACTCGCAGCATTCAAACCCATCTTGAGGCTGAGGAGGAGCGGAAGGTGTCACTGTCTGCCCGCGGTGCTTGCCCGACGGAGGAGCTGGTGAGGCCGTACAATTTTGCACATGAGCAGCATCAGCAGCACTGGAAGCGGATTTCCAGAGATCTAACTATCAGTGCCAGTATTTTCATGTTTTGTTTGGTGGCAGGCATTGTATTTTTCAAGCTGGCAGACCCTTGTAGCACACGGAAGTGCGATAATGACAAAGAGCACGTCCATACCTGGACCGACGCACTCTACATGAGCGTGATAACTATGAGCACGGTCGGCTTTGGAGATATCGTGCCTCAATCAAAGATTGGGCGAGCATTTGCCACAATTTGGATGATGGTCGGTGTCGCCGTCACCTTTCGCTTGCTTGGCAGCGTCTCCAGCGTCATCGATCATACTCTACGTGCAGATGTGCAGGCTCAAATGTCTCGCCAGCTTTTCCATGAGAGCGATGAGAATGGCGATGGCCATTTGGATGTTTTGGAGTTTATAAAGCTCCAATTCGTTCAGAATGGATTTGTGACAAAGGAGCAGTTCGATGCTGTTCATAGCCAATTCAAACTGATTGCTGGGCACGACGACAGAATATCGATAGATGAGTACGCAGATTATTTTTTGCCAGACGAGGTTCAAGAGCAGCGTCGCTCGAACAGCTCAAGGAGTGCAGAGTAGTCCAGGAATGGCGAATTATAGGGCCCACGAAGCTGTTCCTTGATGGCATCCTATCGCCAGGGACGTTCGCTTCTCGGGCGCGAGCCGAATTGTGATGTGTTTTTGCGGCTGCTTCGGTGCGAGTTGCCTCGGCCCTGCTCGGGCGCGAGTTGCAGCCGCTGCTTCGGCTCCCGTCTCACAAGCCTTGGACAGCAAATCCCGCCAGTGTGTTGGCCTCGAGGGTGTCCTTCAACTTGCACTTTAATTTTGCTGAATCTGGCGAAACAGTGGCGGAGTCCCCTTCCTCCCTCCATCGCAACACGCCCAGAGAAGGTCTCTGTTGAAGTCGTGTCGTTTCGGTGATTCTGCCAGCCACGGAGCGGGAGTGGACATGTAGAATTCAAGGCGGGGGCCAACCCTTGCCCCGAAAATTAGCAATGGCCCCGGATTCGTGACGGAAAGGGAAATTTTCGGGCAATTTCAGAGGAGGGCGGACGAGTGGTGCGCAGCGTGGTGGGGTGGGGGGAAGCGCGAAGGAGGGAGGAATGGTGCAACGGAGTGGCATGGGAAGAAGTGGGGGGAACGTGTTGGAACGCGGGAGCTGGGGGGTGGAAGCGTCCCAGCGCTGCAGGGATGTGGATGCGTCCATGTCTCTGGGGGCCCCCGTCCAGACCCCCGACGTCGCGATTTTTTCGCAACGTCGACCCTCCGAGGTCTCGACCCCTCCCCCGGGGCCGGCTTCCCATCCCGAGTCGTCTCTTGACCCTCCTGAGGCCCGGTGAGGGCCCCCGGAGGCCGAACGCAGCGAACATTTTCGAGTCGTGATTTTTGTCGTAGCGCTCTGGCGTTTCAGTGGGCTCCGTGGAGAGCCTGCGGTGGACGCCTCGATGGGCCCTTCAGGCCGCTCTGGGCGGCGCTCTGGGCCGTCTGGCGGTGGCCTCGGGGCCGTCCGGCGATGGGGTCCCTGGGCCGCGCGGCGCCAGCCGTGCTGCGGCGGTCGTCGACGGCGGCGGCGGCGGCGGCAGCGGCGACGTGGCGAGGGCTCCTTCCGCTCCTGCCTCTGCTCCTGCTCCTGCTCCTGCTCCTGCTCCTGCTCCTGCTCCTCCTCCTCTTTCTCCTCCTCCTCCTCTTTCTCCTCCTCCGAATGCCGTAGCCATTTTGGCTCAAGTAAACGATTTATCGAGGTGGTGTAGAGACCAGTTTTCTGACGGCCCCCACAGGTGGCCTTGCCCTGGCCAGGGGGCCGTCTGTCATTCTCCTCCCCTAGTGCTGCAGCCGCAGCCACAGAGTTAGATCACCATTCACGAGTCAACCCGCCCTCATCAGCCATGGTCAGCGGCAGGCCGAGGCAATGGGTGTGCTGCAAGAATTGCCCTCGCAGTTGGGAATTCATCGACTCTGGCATTCGCCAGTGCAAGTATTGCGGAGCCAACTTTCAGCCGCCAAACAGTTGGCCTCCGAAGAAGGGCAAGGGGAATGATCAAGGAGGAACTGCAGTTGCGTCGTCAGCCCAACATGCAGCTGGAGCAAAGCAGACAGATTTGTTCAAATATTGTCACAATCGGTACGGGGGAGCCACCACTCCAACCAAACTATTGCTACAGCCAGAAGGAGATGGGGATGATGACCAACAGCAAGCGGCCACAACAGTGGCGGCAGACAAGATACACAGCCATATTGAGTCTCTGGAGAAGTACATCGCCTATGCCGGCTCAGTTACTGACGAGCTCGTCCCTGGTCACGAGCAGAGCCTTTCAGCATCCAGACAGAAGTTTGCACAGCTTAAGGAGCAGGCCGCCGTGCACCTGCCCCACCACAACCAAGTGCATCGAGCGACGGTTCGAGTCAAGCGAGCACGGGACAAAGTGGATCAACTGCGAAAGCAACTGGAAGAGAATACTGAGTACATTGGGCAGATGGAATCACTACTGGACACCATGCGAGATGACAGCAAGCAGATGCAGCAGAGGCTCGATGAGGCCGAGAAGCAGCTCAAGACGGAGGAGGAGCAGCAATCACATACATGGGACACAACATCTCGTGCGCACTTGGGTGACCTCAATTCGTTCAAGCTTTCGCTGGAGTCGTTGGTCGCCAAGGCCCCTCAGGACGCCGATATCGCTCAATTGCTCACCGCAGCACAGCAGCTGGCACAAAAGTTTGAGGAGGCGGCCAATCGTGAGATGCGAGTGGACGACGATGAGCATGGCCCCAGCCTCGAGAAGCAGCAGCTCGAGGTTCTGGAGTCACTACTGCCAGGTGAGCAACGTGCAGCCTGGGAGGCCAAGGAGAAGGAGCTCGCGAAGGCGGCGGTGTCACAGCCGCCTAAGCCTGCATCCCATCCACCAACGCCGCGGCCTACGGTCGCCAAGCAGCCAGCCGTGCCGAAGCCAGCAGGCCCACGAGTTCCGCCTGGACCTGGTGCTGGGCGAGGAGCTGGAGTGGGCAAGGGCCAGTCACCAGCGCATGAAGAGGGACAACACCGAGATCGCGGGTCAAGATCCCCTCGTGGCGCTGGAGGTTCAGCCGCGGAATTGTCTGACGATGATGCATCTGAGGCGGCCAGGAGGTCGCCAGGGTAGCACGTTTGCAGGTCGCTGTGAGCCAGGCGCTGATGCAAGCACATGCAGCACACCATACCATACTGACTTCAGCCATTATGGGACAGAGTTTTCCGACGGCGATTTTGATTTCGACCAGCGCCAGCTTGAGTGGGAAATTGGTGATGGTGGGGAAGTTATGCTGGTGGAAAAATTTAATGGTTCGTCCTGGGGTACCATAAAGCAGAGACTGGGGGAGTTGCAGAATTCCACTGTCGCAGTTTTGTTTGCTCAGGAGATCAAGCTTCTCGAATGGCCCCTGGGAGCCGCTAGTGCTTGGGCCCCCCAGAAATGGCTGGAAGTCATTCTGGGCGCCGAGTTTCACGGGCCCTTCTGGTGCGTCTCGTCCAGTCTCAACGAGCTGGGGGGGCGAGGGCGTGTCATCTGGAGTGGCCATCTTCGTCGGAGCCACTCTAGGGGCCTAAAATCTTGAGCCGCCTTCCTTTCCCCCCGAGGGTATCCTCTTTCGGGGGCGTGCGCTGTCATGTGTGGTAGAGTTCCCAGGGGCCCCAGGTATCCTTTGTGTCTCTGTCTATGGGAAAGTCTCAGAGGGCCACTCTGTCACCGACTTGGAGATCCTGGAGCGCGTTGCCACGCGCTGCAAAGTGTGAAACATGCAGTTCATTATTGGGGGATATTTCAACATGCCGCATGAGCCCCTGGCCCCCTATGGGTTTTCAGAGGCGCTCGGGGCCAAAGTTTTGGTTGCAGAGCCCCCATTGTCAAGCCGAGGCAAGTCAAAGGTAACATATTATTTCGCGGTTGAGTCAGAGTTGGCTAAACCGGTCGCGTCAGTTTCAACAGACTTTGACTGGCGCGGCAGGCCTCACTTTCCTGCGCGCATAGGTTTGCCAGCCAGTATGCACAAAGTGAGAATTTTACAGTTCGACGCAGTGCCAGCTATGTCGTGTGAGCTGCCAGAGGAGAACGAGATTGGAGTCTCGCCCGTCGATTGGTCGGAGCTGTTGGAGCGCTGCGAGGATCTTTTCTTTCAGCTCCAAGGACTAGCATGGGAAACCAAGCCAACAGGAGTGAGGCGACTTATAGGAGTTTTGTACCGATACTGGGCTCAGAAGGCGGAGAGGGAGGTGGCGGATCGGACGAAATCGAAACTCACCGGGCCAGGAGTTCGAGGATTACTGCCGAAACCACGTCTCGCCCCGCTGGCCCAGAGGAATCCAGTCCACAAATGTTTCGCAGCAGTCGCGCAAGGCCCTTCCTGGCTTGCGTCGCGTATCAGGCGAATGGTCCAGCCGCTGAGCTTGGTGGACTTCGCCAAGACGGCCATCTTTGCAGAGCACGCGAGAGATCTAGACAGTCTCTGCCGCAAGTTTGCTACCGCCAAGCCACATCATGTGCTAGAGCATGCTAGTACCAGCGACAGTTTTCGGACTATTAAGGACATTGCTCGACGGGTTCGTTCGTATCTGCATTGCCAGTCGGGGCTCCATCCAGGAAGTCGTAACGACTTATGCTTCGAGCTTGAGAAAGAACTTGGCTTGGTGGTAGGATATGCAAGGGAGTCATTTCAGACTCCCACAGCAAGCGCAGGGAAAGTTTGAGAGATTGGGTCACACATGCACTTAACAAAGGAGCGGGCCCAGCACATCGATTTTGCAAAGAACAGGTCACATGGGAACCTGAAGTATTTGTGTTTCAAGGGGTGAGGTCTAACAGCGTGCAGGCCTTGATTGATGAGTATAGCCGCAAATGCGACAAGTTGTGGGAGGCCACACCTGAGCCTCATCATCGCCCGCCCGCTGTGCAGCCAGCATTGCCTTTGCCACCTGTCACCGCGGTGCAGGACATAAGCAAGACGTACTCCACCAGGTCAGCAGTCAGTCTAGATGGCTTTCGCTGCCGTCACCTATCCTGCCTGTCCGAGCGAGGAGTACAAGTATTCATATACCTTCTTGGGATGTCTGAGTGCCTAGGAGAGCTCCCGCCTCAGCTCCAGTGGGTTCTCATGGCGCTGCTCCCTAAGGCCTCCAAGGGGTATCGCATTATTGTGATCTCCAGTATGTTCTATAGGGTGTCTGGGAAGATCAGGTTATCATACGCCAGGGCTTGGATGGACAAGTTTGACCACCCGTGGTTCAGTTGTGGGCCTGGTAGATCCCCTATTGACGTTGTTTGGAGGCAGAGTGTTAGAAGTGAAGCATCTAAGGCCTCTGGAGAGGCCCCTGTGGACCTCTTTTTGGACCTGGTCTCCTTTTACGAACGATTTGCGAGAGCCAGGTTGCTTGCCAGAGGCCTAGAGCTAGGTGTTAGTCCTACGCTTATGCAGTTCCATCTTGCTGCGCATGGCTCTGCGAGGTTTGTAGGATACAAGAGAGCAGTATCTAAAGCTTTGTACGCTTTCAGAGGCATTGTGGCGGGCTGTTCGTTCGCCATAGTTTATGTCAGAATCGACTGCTTCCA